GCAGTGGTCCCATCGGGTGACAGTTACTGCCCAAAGGTATTTTTGTAGGCACACGACTACTATCACTCTAGCTGGGTCACACAGGAGGAAGTGGCAATCGGTCATACAAGATGTCAAATCTGTCTTCACATCAGAAAATCCGTTTCGAATTGTCGACGGTGCTCATGCGACTGGCCACAAGACTGAATCAGCATTCTATCCAGTTGAACAGGACTTCTCTTAAGACCTATTGGTTGGAGGATCAGACCATAGATGGAATAATGGATGAAAGTGAGATGAAGGAAGACGTTTTGTCTTCGGGAAGTGCATAGACCAAGTCAGCGGAGAGGTGCAACAAAACGAAAAATCATCAAACCTCGCCAATTGCCATCGCCAAGGTTAATTTGGGTTACTTTAGGATTCACAGCTGATCTTGAGAAAGATCGCTGCCGAAATCAAAGCTTTACTCTTCCATCCTTACTCTCAAAATTTAAGCACTAGTAGACTGGTCAGTAGGAAAGATTAAAATAAAAGGTTGGGAGACATTTCAACTTGGCCGTACTGTTGATGTCGCTGACCCGTTTCAGAGTAAAGCTGTCCTCCTTTTGTCGTTGTTACGATCTTACTGGTCTGAGATGATTATGGCGGGATATTGTGACTTGGGCTTAATACAGAGGGCATTGTGGCTCAGGAGGAGGAAGTACGCGTTCCGTGATCAAGATTGGTGTCATTGCACCTGGGACAGACGAGTACGATTGTGGGTTAACAAGAGGCGCACCGTATTACGCGATTCCCTCACCAGCCACTGGGAAGGGAGCATGAGCAGTCAGCCAATTTCAGGTGGTAGCTCCCTTCATCTCGAGGTAATATTCAGTTAACACATTTGGACGCGACGGAAGGCATATTCTGTGAGCCTAAAATTTGCACGCCCTTTCGTACTCAACCCTTCCTTCCCTCTGCTTGCATGTTCTGTGTCTACTTAGCAACTGCAAACCATCGTTACAGAGGGAAGCGGTATCCACCGCGTGGAATCATTTCATACCGCCTCACATTTGCCTAATTCTTTCACTGAAATACTTCGTCTTATTTGCGATTTCAGGACGACTTATGTACAAGTAAGTCATCGTGCATAAGTGCCATTTTCTTACC